ATTTCTTAAAAAATATGTGACATTTATATTTTATATGAAAAATTTGCAAAAATACATAAAGAATATGTAAATGTATCCATGTTTTACATCTATCAATTCTTAATATTCGTCGTTTAAAATTTTTTTTATTAACTCGTTAAATCTTATATATATGTCTATAAAAATATTTTTTTTTCATTTTTTTCCCTGTTATATACGTATTTTATGAATTAATAATACAATTCATATATAAGATGTTCATGATAGCCATCATTTTCATCATAAATGGAAGTTATTAGAAAAAAATGGAAAAGAAAAAATCTTATAATCTCTTAGAATCAATATTTTTTATATTTGTAATATTGTAATTTGCAATATTTCAAAAATTGAAGGTAATCTTTAATTTTTTCATTAGTACACTGTATTTTTTTTTTTTATAAAATGATATGATAAGTTAAATATATTACAGAATGATTTTCAAGATTTTACAAGATCTAAATCATATTTATAAAATTAAAAAATATTTTGAATATTTTTATATTAAGGTATTTACAGATATTTCTATTCATGTTTATACATTTATTTTTTTTTATCAAACTTATCTAGTTTTTATTATTTGAATATAGATATTCTATTCGAATATGCATTTCTTCTTGGTACGTAAATGTCAATTTTTTATTTTCATTAATAAAAATATTAATAAAAATATTTGTTTCTTTCATTGAATCACGATTTCTAGGATACCATTAATTAAAATTATCGATTTATGAAAAAATATTAATATTATAAAAAATATAATATTAATAATAAATATTATAAAAAATATTAATATTAATAATATTATTATATTATTTTATAAGAATAGAAAAAAGATAATTACTTTGATAACAAGTAAATTGTAATGAATAATCTAAATATCAAAAAATATTATAAATACTTATAAACACATTACGAAATATTGACAAATATTTCTTTTATTTTTGACCTTGTACAACCTTGACTAACACATAGTATATTTATTTTAATGCAGTCATTATATATATATTATGTTGCGATGTATTGTTAAGAATAAATATGCAAGACATATATATTATATAAAAGATACAAAATAAAAAATATATTTTTAGAATCTTTTATTTTTAAAATTTATTTTCGTCAAGATTCCACTATTTTAATAAAAAATATTCAACTGATTTCTATAAAAAAAATATACATCTCTATAAATATTTGCAGTCTATTTATCTGATTATTTATTAAAATTACACTATACATAAATTAATAAATTGATATGATAAAATAAATAATTAATTATATTATTATTATTAATTATATTTTAAATCATATTAATTAATAATGATTATATTTCCTCCAGATAAAATTAATATTTAAATAGAGGTTTTTTTTAAATCGTTATTATATATTATGATATTTCCAAATACTTCTCAGATATACTAGTTATTATTTAAATTATAATCATTATAGACAGTTTGCTGTATTAAAATAAACTTTCACATTACTTTATTTTAATGAAATGAAAAAGTTATCTTTTTATATTTTTTTCAGATTTATTTAATTTGATTTTCTAATTTAATCAATTCTTGTTTTCTAACTATAAAAACACGAAATAGTTAATAAATAACAATTCAGATATCATATATTTATATATTTAATTAACATCGATTCCAATCCAAAATGATATTGATATACACGATTTGTGCCAAGATGAATATATAAATTTTAGCTAATAATTAAATATGATAATGATCTCAGGAAATAATGTTTACACGTACGTATATATATATCTTTATATTTTTTATATTAATTCACGAAAAAATTTATTAATTTAATACGAATTAGTTAAAAAATATATAATAGAAAGTGGTACATTTCGTAGTACACACATAATTTCGTAACCAAAAACTTTTTTTTTTCTAAGAGATTTTTATCACTTGTTCAATTTCACAATTTTTAATATTATCTAAGATAAAATTAAAAAAAGAAAAAAGAAAAAATAAGAATGAAAGAAAAAAAGATATCGACTCGATAAGAATTCGAAGAAGCTCGGAGGATGTTTGTCAGGAAGACGACTTCGGACATTCTTAAAAGCATACTATACCTCGACTACAATATGGCCTGTTAAACAAACAAAAGACATTTATGACTAATTCTTTATGCTTGTTTCAACATTCATCTTAACGAATGCAAATCGCTGAAACTGTCATTTGTTAGGGATAGAGAGTCTATTTCCATATACTATGCATAGTAGTATCTTCTTATAGATTATAGATTCCCAAACAACCCCTAAGAGATAGGTTTTTGTTTGTAATTATTTGTATTGAAAATTTTATAATGAAAATCATCAATATTTATTTAATTCTGATATAGTGTAAATTTCTATTAGTGAGAATAATAAATTCCATTAATTATTTATAATTATTTATAAAATTTATAATATATATTATAATTTATAAATATTAAATTCTCGTTATTTGAATATTTTGAAATGTGATTTCAATTTGATTAAAATAGACAATGAAAATTTATGAAGTATATTTATTATTTATATATTTATAAATTATAATAAAATATTATATACAGAGTCCAATAATGGCAATCATAATTCTTTTACAATTATGAGAAACTTTGAAAATTTCAAAATTATTAATATTTTTTAAAAATATTTATAAAATCAATATTTTAATTTTTTATATAGAGTAATAAATTAACAATAAATATATCAATCTATTTACTTAGATATTCAAACTATGAATTTATGAATGAAAAAAATTTTATAAATTTTATGAATTTTATAAATGAAAAAAAAATAAATATATTAAGTATCTATCTCATTGTAATTTATTATTAATTATTATTAAAATATGTGCATGTTTTTAATAATTATAAAATAAAAAAAAATAATACTAGTTATTTTTTTAAAAAACAAATTTGATAATTTTACGAATGCCACGATATATCTTTAATCAATAACTTATATTTAAAAAAGTTATTATGATTTAAAAATAAAAAATGATCTAAAAATAAAATATTTAATTTACTTGCATTTTTATAGACTCCATTTAAATATCTTTATTGTTTTTAATGTTATAAAACATATTTTTAGCATAATTTAAATGGCTTTTTTTCAAAAAAAATGTCATGAAAAATTTTCTTTTGCTCGTTTTTTTTAATTTTTTTTTCAATATTATTTTTTATACAAGAATTTTATATAAGAAACGTTTATTTTTTTTTTTTTGCATTTTGTAATAAGCTAAAAAATATATATATATTTGTATATATATCTGTATATATCTATTATACCTATATATACCTGTATATATCTCTCTACCTGTATACCTCTTTATACCTGAATACCTCTAAATAAGCTTGAACATTAGAAGATGAAATTGTAAGATAATGAAATGAGAATTTACGGTTTAAATTTTCTATTGTTACCGGATTAGTAACAGTATCCGGATTCTACCGTTCATTATCATCTGAAACTATAAATCATTGTTGATATATTTCTTTCTATGGAAAACTTTTGAAAGTTAATTTTTGGCATATTTTATTCTTAAATATATTCTCTCATGGAATTTAATAACTTAATACGATTATATTTCAACGACAAATTGTATTCTAAATTCTATTTCTTTATTTTTGGGCCACGTGTAGATTCATCGTAGCTAATAGCTTTTCAAGAATCTTATAATTATATTTATATATGTATACAAAATAAATAATTCATATTTAAAAATTGAATTTTTTTTCTTTAAAATATCACATTTAAAAAATTATTATAATTTTATTATAATGTTCACATATCACATATAAAATTCTCGTTTCTTAAATCTTTTTTCAATAAATCAAAATCTTTAATTAGAAGATTTTATCTCTTTTCTTGAGTAATAGAGATTACCAAAAATTTATAATTATGAAAAAAAAAAGAGAATTATAAATTCTTCGGACACTATAAAAAAGGATCATATTTCAAAAAGATGTTCGCTCAAACTAAGAGGGTAAACGCGCTTTTTTATCGACTTCGAAAAAGATTTTTGCGCGAGTATTACGTTACGGCGAAATTTGATGAAGTAACTCAGAGACTTTGCCTAATAGCGTCAATAAAATAAGAATGCTAATTGCTCGCAAGGAGCGAATGTAAAATCGAGTGGAAGGAGCATTAAACGTGCGCGCAATCGAGTGAAAGTTTTTGAAAGAAAACAAGACAATCGAGGGATGTTGAAAAGGAAAAGGAGCAAGTTCGTCAATAAGGGAGATTTTATCTCGATTACGTGTATCGATCATCCGTATCACATCATATTGCTTTTCCATTAATCGAATGATATCATTGAAACGAGAATTGAAAACAAGATCGATTTCATCGTAACTGTTGATATAATATTTGAACGACTTGTAGCATTAGAAAACCAGTCGTGCTACATACTTGTCATAGTTTTCGATATTTTTTGTCGCACGCACGTGAGACGAGTCTGGTAAACCATGAATAGTCCTAATTAAGAAACATAATTAGAGGCGACTGTTTGTGGAAATGATTGTAAACGTTGTGACAAAATTGCAATAAAATTGGATTTTCAGAATTTGGAAGGGAAAAAATTGAGTAAAATATATATATATAAAAAAAAAAAGGAAAAAGAGTTTCTTAATTTTTAGTATTCGAATATCTGAAAGTAAAAAAATTGAAAGTAGAAAATTACATTATCGAACAAAGAATTTGACCTGGAAGAAAGTAACTGAAACGAACAATTTTTCCTAATGCAAATGTTTCAAAGATAAAATCAATATTATTTAACGAACGATAAAAAAAAAGAAGAATATTGTTACGTATTAAAAATAATTTACATTAAATAAGGAAAAATATTTAAAATGATAACGATGATGTAAATTCAATTAGTGAGAAATAATGGTCAAGTTAAAAATTCATGGTGGGGGTGTCTTGGTATAACTTCAAAGACAACAACGATGCAAACTCAGACCAGGAGGGAAGGCTTGCTTTCCATTCGGATTCTGTGATTACTCCTCCTGCACCGCAGTCCTTTCTCGGTCGTCTCTTTAGTCGGTGGTCTCATGCAAATAAATAGTCCGTTCTTTGGTCGGTACCTGTTGTCTTGTTGCGGTCGTGTCAGGGATCGTGTCGTTTGTCGTGTTCACCCTCGATCTCCACTCAACAACGTTCTTTCTCGCGATATAGAATATAGAATTCATTCGGTTACCATCAATTTTTCGTCAATGAATTTGAAAAATTAAGTGAAAATATCCAATCTATTTAAAACATGGAACATACAAAGATTTCTTTCTTGTGGTTATCCTTGTTATTATTTACGATGCTTTGCGCATCGATCGAAGCAAATTCAAGAAATGTGGTGACGATGAAGGAAACATTACCAGTGTACGCGATCACGGAATACATCGATATTCTGAATGCGAGCAGATGTCGGAATGAAATGGAGCAATTTCGCAAAGCGATAGATCACGACGTGCTGTGGGGTTTAAGAAGTTAGTAGTTTAAATAAATATAAAATTTCGATCGAGGGAATTATTCGTGCATCAAAGACAAAAAGAAGGGAACGAAAATGTGGTCTCTCCGACCGGTTGTGAGTCGAAACGTGCCGAAACCAACTGTACACACCTTATGTGGGACCAACATAACGATCGTGCATTTGCGGTGCTATGTTTCGTAATCCAATCGTTAATACAAACGTGCATTCACATCCGCGGAAAATTCGATATAATAATTTAAAACACAAGAAAACACTCTTGTGCAATCGCGAATTCTCCTTGAAACGAATATACATTACGATTACGTATCACGATTGTGTCACGATGTTTGATTTTTCGCTACGGCAACCCTCAAATCCGAGACTTTCTTCGCGTGTTGCACAAGAAACTAGTTTCCTTCGCTCTTCCTCGATCAGCTACTGGTTTCGAATACGATCAAACCTTGATCTTTTTATTTCTTACCATCGTTTGCCATTCGATCTTTTAAAAACCATATCTGCTATTTTTTAAAGTGTTGGACGCCAGCGGAGTGCCACCCTGGGGATTCATAAACGGGAACAATTTCTGGCTGGGAGGCAAAAATGATTGCAATTATATATCCAAAAATTACACGCTGTCCCTGTCGGAGAAAATTCAGAAGAACAATTCATTGTATCGAAATTCTAATGAAGAATATCCACCGTATGAACTTCATTTCTTTGCCGCCCGTATGAGACACAACAGTACTGTACAGTACCATATAGAATTATCGAAGGAAGTAAGCACGAGGAATTTACATTAGAATTTATATCTATTGAAATTTAAAATGTAAAATGAGAAAGAAAGAAAAATCAAGAAAGAAAATTGATTTAAATAAAAAAAAAAAGAAATGAAAATAATTGATAATTGAAAAAAATACAACTAATACAACTAACGTGTTTAAATGATAATGAGAAAAGAAATTTAAGAGATCATGCATTTTTTAGGACATAGTGACACTTGGACTTTGCTTACCGGCATCCTGCACTAAAACTGAGATAGCCACGATGATGGATAAAGTGTTACATAATGAAACTCTCTTGATTGGACAACTCTTTTCCATAGGTTTAACACTGGTCGAAATCACTGACCTCAGAAGCGGTCATGAATGGCTTCTCGAATGGAATATAATATTCATCATGTATGTAAATTAGCGTAATAAATTTTTTCAAAATTAATAAAAATCAAGATGTAGATAAATTTAATTTATTATATTATAAGCGATGAATATATTAGATCAGGCGAAAAAAATGAGTACATGAGTAGAAATAAATATTTTCATTCCATTTTTATCTCTTGAATGGTATAAAAATTTTGCAAATCAATTTTTCTTCGATATAATATAATTCGACATAGTAATTTTCGATGCCTATTACGTTTCAATTAAATGGAAAATAAATATTCACATCGAATTAGAATGTACATAATAAATAATATTTGTCAATAATTTAGACATCAAACGAAATATTTTATATGTTAAATATTTACTAATTAAATGAGATAGTATTTTCAAATAATATTTATTTATTTGGAAAGTTTTGAAAAGATTATGTAATATTTATTTATAATTTCAGTCTTCTAATATTTGTTTTAATTTATTTTTCAAATTTTCCCCAGCTCTGTTAATTATTGATTAAAATCACTGATCTATTTGATATATATTTGATTGCAGAATCATATTGGCCCTGCTATGTTGTGTAACAATAATTTGCACAGCATATGATGGTTTCGTCTACCAAAAACGTTTAAAAAACAAAAAAGAGTTAATTCCCTTTGAGAATAACAACGTATCCGGTAAGTTAACAATCTCACATTATATTGATATTTTTATCCAATATTTAACACATTTAATACACTTTACGAAAATGTAACACATCTCATTTATCTTACGAAATATTAATATATTTCAATTAATCAAAAATATAATCTATTTTATTATTTCTCCATTAAAACATTATATCGTTATATGCATGCGTTTTACACAAATTCTCAATCATCAAAATAATTAATTATCTTAGAATTAGATAATCCTATTAAATTTCATTATTAACTATTCAAATGTAATTATTATTCAATTCTTTTCATTATTATAAGAAAACATGCTATATTACACATGAAAATGATAAATTACTTAATTATGTAAATTTTCATAATTTTCTTTTTTTTCATAAACTATCTTTCAAACATATCTTTCTTTTTATTTTTATTAGAGAAACATTCTACTTTTCATTTAAAATCATTAAAGCCTATTAGTATTAGGAAAAAATGATAATATACTTCATTTCAAAATTGTATAGATATATTCTTCTTCGTAAGATAAATGAAATATGCCATTTTTTGTAACACGCGCATAGATAAATGACTTTTTATTTTATATGATTAATATGTTAATATATTCCTGAAATCTTTGAAGAATCGATTCTAAAAGCCAAAAGTCGATACCGCCAAAAATATCAATTTCAAATTTATTAATTTTATTTATAAGTAATTGCATCAGATGAAAAGAGATAAAAATAGAGAGATAGCTATATTTAATGCATTTATAATAATTTTTAATAAATAAGCCTCAAACGTTTATTTTAATCTTTAGATTCGATTTTTATTTCATGAATATATTAATATCTAATCCTTTGAATATTTTTTAATAATCAATATAATCTATAATAAATTATTTAATTATATATAATAAAATGTTTGAATAGAACTGAAAAACGATGTGGAAGAAAAAGGCGAAAATCATTGTCATGAATTGGTAACGACCGAGTTGAAACCGCAAAATAAAATAATACGATTTATTCTCTGTTTCTCGTGGTTTACGACTCTTAAGCAAATATTTCAAATGGAAGTCGGTTATGATGATATGCGTTTATTTCACGGTATGAAATTTTTTGGAATGATATGGATCATATTGGTGCATGCACTTTATTACGCGCATCATGCTATAGGTGAGACATCATTAATTACAGATAAATTTTAATCTTTTCGTTATTTCATTTATATAGAAAAAATTTTTAAAATAAAACTATACTTATATATATATAGCTAACAAGGTAATCGCATATCGGATGACTGACGAATTTTTCACGCAAATACTAAGCAATGCGACACTTTCGGTGGATACCTTTTTCTTTACCGGTGGCTTTCTATTGACGTATACATATTTAAGATCACAAGGAAACAAAAAGAAAACGTTCAGTGAATCAGTGACGCAAATTATACAAGGGATCATTAAACGATTCATTAGGTATTGTATAATATTTATAAGCATTTAAAATTTCGTTGCAATTAGATTTTAATGAGAAAATTTTAAAATTCCGATTTCATTTCAAGACTTACACCCGGATATCTTGTCGTAGTCATGATTTTGATATTAAATTTTACTTGGATGGAAAAAGTTTCGATGATTCCATCCAGCGAGGAAATACACGTTTTATGTACAAAATATTGGTGGAGGAATGTACTTTATATCAACAACTTCTTTTCATGGAATGAACAGGTACGAATTTTGTTAAATATTTTATTCTTATTTTATCACGTATTTGAACAATATTTAAAAAAGACTCGTTTAACGGATAAATAATAAATTTCAGTGTCTCAGCTGGAGTTGGTATTTACCCAATGATATGCATTTCTTCATTTTTGGTTCAATTATTCTAACATTAATGAACACGTAAGTTTATAATTCAGATTTTTAATTATTTATCATTTGATTTTATTTAATTATCAATTGTAAATTTCAGACATTACAATATCGCATTGAGCTTAAGTGTTATTACAATAATTTTATCAATATTTACATCCGGTTATTTGGCTTACAGTTATAATTATATACCTGCGTAAGCATATAAAATATTTTTATATTATCATAATAATATATATTTAATATTTTAAAAAGTATATATATATATATATATATATATATACATATATTATTTTTTTAGATTGAATGAACAATATGAAATGTTAACATACTTTTATTTACGTCCGTGGACAAGAATTCCACCATATTTGATAGGAATGGGTACATGTCTGCTTCTTACAAAATGGAATTATAAATTACATTTATCAAAGGTAATATATATATAATTTTTATTAATTATACATTTTATTTCTTATCTATATTTTTATGTATTTTTAATCTTTGCAAGGTCGAGATGTATACAAGATGATTTTATAAATGTCTTTTAATAGACATTTAATAAACATATATACAAGAATGTCTTTAATAGATATATAAAATGACTTTATAAATGTTTTTTAATAGATACATAAAGAAATTTTTCATTGAAAAATAGCTTTTATATGATATTTATATGAGTCTATGCTCATCATTTACAATTAGATAGAAATCTTGTATAAAAACAGTAATTGAATTAAATCGAATCATTTTTATAATAATGATAATTTATCGAATTGATTGTCAAAAAAACAAATGAAATTTAAATTTTATAGATTGATTATAGATTAGTTTATTAAGTCGAAATTTTATTATATTTAACAAATGTTGCAATTTTTTATATTTATAAAAAGTTTTAAAGTATAGATTTTATATTATTGTATATTACAATTAATAATTCAATATTTTTTGAAAGCTTAAATAAAATGCATATAATCATAATATGTTTCAGAAAACATTATTCGTTTGTTGGACTTTAGCAATTTTGTGCAATTGTTCAATTTTATTCGGTCTTGTAAACAAAAATTTAACTCTGGGTGTATCTATTCTTTATACGGCCTTAAGCAGAACAGCCTGGGCCTTTGGTGTAGCTTGGTTTGTAGTTGCATGTTGCACGAATAATTGCAGTAAGTAACTTTTTTCTTAAAAAAATATTCATATTATATTGTATATAATTATTATAATTTTTTATATTCAATTTAATTGATTAATTTAAGTATTTTTTTTTTATGTTTACAGATTTGATAAATAAATTTTTATCGAATAAAATATTCTTTCCTATGAGCAGATTAACTTATGCTTGTTATCTGCTAAATCCTGCAATTATACTTTCATTATATTCGATTTCTTCTTATCCCTTTTTCATTGATTACGTCACAATTGTAAGAATAATAAAATTTAAAGTTTTATTAAATAATATCAAAGTAATGTTAATGAAAATAATTTTAATTTTTTTAATTTTTTTTTCAGGGTGGGATATTCCTAGTAGCAGTATTATTTAGTTACACTGCTGCTATAATATTAAGTGCATCAACAGAAGCACCATTTATAATGCTTCTGCGATTGATCATCCAATCGAAAAATAAAGAAACAAAATGAATATATAGACATAGATATTTCTATAAAACTTTTAATTGATAAATCTGAAAAAAATCATTCGTGTATTAAAACATTTGGAAATGTTTAATGTTTAATATTTTTTTATATTTGGGAAGGAGGATCAATCTGAAGAATCATTTGCACAAAAATTATAAACGTTTTCTTTTTATCAACGAGTATTTTGTACATAGCGAGCAAAAAAAAGTCATATACAAATAATTATAGATCGCTGAAAGATAAGAAACAATTTTTTTCATGTTATGAATGAACCGGCGAATGTATCCTAGGTGGTGCCGGTGATGTCATTGATCGATTTGCTCGACTAGCCTGTTCACGCCGACCTTCTTCCAGTTGTTTTTCAAGTTGTTCTTTTAAAACTAATAATTCTCTCGTTCGTTGATAAACAGGATCCTTTAAAAACACAATATGGAAGAAATATGAAATAATTATTTAATTTAATTAATAATTTTATGTATGCAGAAATTAAAGTGATAGAATATTTTATATACCTGCTGTCGCATACTCGGATTCCATCTACAATATAAACTTTTCCACGGTTTAATGTATCTCATACTAGCGATTGGCATTAGAACAAGCTGATAATAAGGAGCAGCCCAATATAAAGGATTTTGATATAAGGATAACTGACTGTTCGTATACGACCATAACGAAACAGTTTTTTGTTTTACTTGTTCCTGAACTCTTTCTCGTTCACTGTAAGCGTATTACAAGCTATATTTATAATAGTCTTACAACGATCGATGCAAAATATTTAACATACCTGCTAAATAAAAATGTGCCAAATCTACAAGAATATAGGTGATCAAGAATAGTGATTAGAAAATGTTCATTAAACTCAAATGCATTAGGAAACTGACGACTTATTTGCCACACGCAATCCATAAATTGTAAAAATACTGGAGATCTGTCTGCATCGCTATGATGTTCGTCACCATGACCGATTCTCTAAAATATATTATTAGAATTATAGCATTTTCAAATCAACATTGCACAGAAAATATTTAATTAGGTCAGGTATTGTAGACCTGTTGAAATTTGTGACCAAAACTGAGCCATTCTTTTTCTATTAGCACTTCAAAACCTTTGATAGTTCTATAATATGGATCTAACATTAACATGGCAAGAGCTGTTAGCTATAAAAAATTATAAATATTAAAATTATATTATATTTAAAAAATATTTTATATTATTTATTTAATTACCTGTGCTGTCCTATCCCATCCATCTGAACAATGCACTAACACTGAAGTTTTATGATTTTCAACTTTATCTACTATTCTTAATGCTCCTGCAAGTACATATTTTATATGTTTCAACCAAACTGTAGATTCTATTCCTGATAACCATCTTGTTTCATCAATTGTCGGGAAACATAACTCTAAAAGATAATTAATAATAATTTATTTATTAATTAATAGTAATAAATAATAATTTTTTTTATTGCAATTTAACGAAAATATTAGTGATCATAAACTGACCTTTTAATTTTCTAAGACTCTCTCTCATTACATGTATATTATGAATATCAAGAAATACAAGTTCTGCATTTTGATAAGCGTCTTCACTTTCATAACCGCCACCTTTAGCTTTATTTGCAACAGCATTAGGCATTGGTCGAGCATCCATAATAAAAAGTTTATGACTTTGTGCATTAGCATCCATTATTAACTGAATGTATCGCTCGTCTTCGCGACTACGTTTGCCACCAACACCTACTAATGGTTGAGCACAACGAGTTATCGTTGCTTGACTTTCTGGATGGATCCATGAGAGTACTGGAAGTCTTCCTCTACTTCGAAAAGCTGCAGATGCTTGCAAATCCTCATCAGTTGCTGCTGCAGGTACTGCCCATACAGCGGGATAACTATCACAAATTGAATATGTGTCGTTGATTTTCGATATCTTCCACATATCATTGTTTACTCCCTAAAAATAATTGTAACACTAATATATTTTATTTTACATTAAACGTGAGAATATAACATTTTTTACCATTCGTTTTAATTCTGCTATAGGTTCGTAAACATTCCATCCATTTTCAGAAAATGTCTCAAAATATTCAAACGCGAAAAGAGGTAATTTATGAGATAAAGGAAAAGAATACTGTTGAAGTTTTTCAAAAACATCTCTTCTGGAATGATTTTCTTGTTTATGAGCAAATCTAAGATTTCGCATATCTTTACAAAATACTTCAATGCCATAAGAATTTTCTCCTTTGCTAGATGCACCACCAACTTTTTCGATTCTACTAACAACACCTAACGGTACTTCAACAACATAAGGCGTTTCACGATCTACACTCCGAAAATGAAGTTTATAATTTGTAATACTGAGAATTCCTCTGACTGGTCCCGAATAAGGACACACATAAGTTACTTCATGAGCAATGCCTTGCACACGTTCTCCATTTAAAAGTGGTGGACCTGTTTCTCCACTAGACAAATTCTATAAAAAAATGACTTAGGTAAATAATTATGTTGATAAAAAACAACAATTAAATAATAAAACAAGTATCTGCTATTTTAACTATACATTGAAACAATAAATTATGTACTAAAAAAGTAAAAGTAAAAGTGAAAAAAGATTTCCTAAAAAATATGAAATATTTATTATATTAAATGAATGAAATCAAAATCATATTGTATAAAGAAAAGCAAATTTTGGTAATAAATTAATTCTTAACAAATGTAAAAACTACATCAATTTTCCTAATCATTTATATAAAACTCACTTTTACTTGATTGTCTTTTCTAGTTTCTAAAGCAGACACAATATTATTATCTGTTGAAGTAGAGCTTGAAGAAAAACTTTTGGAATGTGATGCTTTATCCCAGCTTTCCTAAAGAAGTTTTAATGCTTATATATAATTAAATATAATTATGTCTAAATCAAAAACTTAAATATATGAATTAAATTATATTACCGATTCTTGACCCATCTTAGAATTAAGGGAACTGCTCTTGCTATCTGAATTAAGAGAATCAGAACTGGCATTTTTGGAGTTATTTTGTTCAACATTCAAAAGTTCAGCACTACCCCTTTTTTCCATATTTCTAACTTAACTTGCTCTTTTTTCACATTTAATATATTTTCATCCTTATATATAATTCTAAACACCACATCTTTAAAATAATATCACCTTCAAAAATAAAATATTAAACTGATTATTTAGTTATTATAATCTATTAAATTTTTATTTACATAAACATATGAATTGATAACAAATATGTGATAAAAATAATTGCAATAGTAATCAAAAAATATTGTATAAACTGTATAAGATTCATATATTTTGTGAAATTTTTATAAATTACTTAACCTTAAAATCCTGAAACTTTATAATATATTATAATTCAAATTATTATAAGTATAAATTTAAAATATATAAGTAATAATAATATTAAAAATAATATTTAAAAGTATAAAATACAAATTTTAAATACGAAATAAATTCTAATAATGATATAAACAAAGTTTTACATAATATTTACGCCACGCCCAGAAGGAATATATTATTTTTATATATTATAATATACATGAATCTTAAATTGTTTAAATATAAAAAGAATTCCAATACACTGACCTTATTCAAAAAAATATTACATAAAAATATTCTAATGAATTCAATCCTTTCAATGCATGTATTTGACAGGCATAGTTCATAGACATTTGACTTTATAAAGTCAAATAGAAATATTTAAGTGATAATATCATTTATTATATGGCAATTTATCATATAAGTTCATAATAACAATTCTTTATATCTGAAAAAATAATATCAAAAACAAAAAATATATGTCATTTAAAAAGCATATTTCTATTTTCTGTTACAATAAATATAAAAAATATCAATTCTAAAATTTCATTCATGAAAATGTACTCTAAATTATAAATTAAATCCTATTAAAACATATATTTTTTATGTCAATTCTTATTATGCGAATATTTAAATTAATATACTGTAGATTATATTTTCAAAAATAAAATTATATTTTATCAAAAAAAATTTTAAATTTAATATTTTCCAAAAATATTGTTTAACACATATCATTTTTTCAAATATTTAAAAATTATTCATATATGAAATGATTAGGAATTATAAAATTAAATGATGAAATATAATGGAATATATATATCAAAAACTAAATATGTTTTATATGCATTCTATAAATCTGAAACTGTAAAAATAATTAAGAATTAATTCTGAATATTTTGTATAATTTTTTATTAAAACTATATTAATATTTATATTTTTCTATATTTGTAAATGTAAAATTTCTATATTTCAATTTTATATATTTTAAATATTTATATTTTTTACGTTAAAAATGAAATTATATTAAAATTGCAAAAAAAATTTAAATAATGAAAATGAAAATGACATCTCATCGTCACACATCAAAACAAATAAAAGTAAAGAGAACATATAGGCAAATAAAGTAAAAATTAGCGCCATCTAGAATATCATAAATGAAACTAAAACATAGATAAGGAAAGTAAATAATAGAAAAAGATAGAGATAGGGTAAAAATGTGGAAATCAGCGCCATCTCTAGAGTGCCGCAAATGAAACACAAAAAGAAAGGATAGCAAATAACGAGAGAAGGATAGAGATAGTAAGAATTGGCCGTTAGCGCCATCTCTTGAATATCAAAGGAAGTATTTTCTTTAAAAATTAAAAGTATCTTCGTAAAAATGTTAAGAGATGGCGCCGAAGGTTAATTCTTACTTCTATCTATCCTTTTCTCATTATTTGCTATCCTTTTTTGGCACTCTAGAAGTTAAGAATTAACTTTCGGCGCCATCTCTTGAATATCAAAGGAAGTATTTTCTTTAAAAATTAAAAGTATCTTCGTAAAAATGCTAAGAGATGGCGCTAAAGATTAATTCTTACTTGTATCTATCCTTTTCTCATTATTTGCTATCCTTTTTTGGCACTCTAGAAGTTAAGAATTAACCTTCGGCGCCATCTCTTAGCATTTTTACGAAGATACTTTTAATTTTTAAAGAAAATACTTCCTTTGATATTCAAGAGATGGCGCTAATAGCCAGTTCTTACTATCTCTATCCTTCTCTTATTATTTGCTATCCTTTCTTTTTGTGTTTCATTTGCGACACTCTAGAGATGGCGTTGATTTCCACATTTTTACCCTATCTCTGTCTTTGTCTCACTATTTTCTCTCTTTATCTATTTGTTTTACGAAATTATACATCTAAAAGCTTCGATATTTAAAATATTTTATAATTTTTTTTATCTGAATCTATTGAAAATCTTAATAAATTTCATTTTATGCAATTTTATATCTTGTAAATATATTATACATTATATATATATATATTTGTTTTTATATATGATATATTATTGCAATATATATAGCTATTTTTGTAATATTGTATATATTTATTTTAATTTTTAATTATCTAAAAAAATTTTCAGCTAATTTTGCAATTTTATATCAAGAAAATGTAATTCGAAAAAAAATGACATATGAAATTTTTTCTGATATTTTTAAAAACAAATATTTTTTAAATTTTAATATAATTGTTTATTATTTAATTACAAATTTTAATATATTTAATTGTATTTATCATTTATATAGTTATCTTTATAATTATCATTCTATATGGTAAACGTTTTAAATTGTTTTTTACAATTCTCTTAAGTCTATAGATACTTACCATTTGTATACTTGATACTTACCTTTTATGTATTCTATATTAAATTATAATATTATTAAATATTTCTTTGTTTTTGGTATAATATTAAAAAATGTTTGAAATAAAAATTAAATAGTATCAAGGTAAATACATTTTGATTATTAATTCATAAATACATATTTGCATTTAAATGCATTATTATATATTTTTTAATGTATTAATTAGTTGTAGTTTTGCATTTATTATAAAAAATTATTAATTATATAAGTTATTTTATTAGCTTATAAGAGATAATATATATTTTTTAAACTAATGATTTTTTATATAAATAAAATTTAATAGTTTTTTCTGAAATCTGGATTTTTTAGATCAATCATTATTATAATTCTCATATGAAAGATAATTGGTATAATAATTAATATTGTCATATTTAGTTAATTATTCAGTATCTTGATAATGTTATTCCATTTTGAATAACATATGACATGAGAATGAGAGCTATATAACCTTTGAACATCAAATCTATTCTCTATTTAATTTATGATAATATAATTAAGAAAATCTGTAGCTGTTAAATAAGCTTCTTATTTTGTATTTTTTAATATTAAATTTATCTATATATTCTGCATTGTCAATTAACCACTATTTATGAAGGTACATAAAATATATATTATTTCCATATGAAATTGTTCCCAAATTAGATTGGCATTGTAACTCAATATCTATATATTTATTCTTAAAAACATTTAAACGATATTTAAATATTTAAACATCTTAAGCCAACTAAGAAATAATATTACAAATTATATAAAAATTTTAACATTTCAACATAATTTTTTATTAGTTCAAATGTTTTTTTGAACAATATTTTTCTTATCTAGAACAAATTTGGAAAGAAAATTATGTTAAATAAAAATTACTTTTCATAAAAATCTCAATTAAAGAAAAAACATCAAAATCAAATTAAAAATTCTAATATTAGAATAAAAATCAAAAAAATAAATTCTACATTAAAAATAGTGTACTTGTACAAAAAAAAAGTAAAATTTATATTTTATTGATCAAAATTTTAATAATAATAATAAGTTAAAATTTATATGCTCAAATAATTTAGAAATTAAATTATTGCATACTAAAAGTATCATTAAGAATGAGATAATTTGATCGTTCTATCTAGAAAAGACTATTTCTAATTTAAATAAATCCTTATTTAAATTAGAAATAAGTTTTCAATGATATATATATTTATATTGTAAATATAAGAAGATTAGATTCGTATTGTATCATCGGGGTTTCCAGAGAATGAAATCTTGTTAATCGAATATCAAATCAGATTACACATAAAGTGCATACCAATCGTTTTGACGAATCAAAAATTATATTTTACATATAAAAATCTATATATTCAATGTATATTGTTTTAGTTTTCTTTATTCTGATCTTGTCAATAGATTTTTAAGCTCTTATTAAAAAATATTTTAAATCCTATATTATTTGATTAATAATCATGATTTGTTGAAATATACTTATTAAAATATATTTTGGATTTTTTAATAAGTATAAAAAACACTAAATATTATTATTCTGATATCTTTTGAGTAGGTTTCATTGTGTCACGATCTATAATACATTAGTTGGGGAGAAATTATGAATTTATTTATAAAAAAAAAATTGCTCAACGAAACAAAATATAGTAATCAGATTTCGACGGTGATGCAGCGATTTCGATTAAGTGTATTCCACAATATAGAGCATATTCATAACATGAAATATAAAACTCTCATTATCAACTATATATATCGTTAACTTTGAACATGGTCAACATATAAATATACAGTCATCACGTTAAGTTAAATGTATCCATACAATACATACAATGAATCTATACACGGTATAAGTAAAATCCCTACATCTTTTCTTGTTTTTTTTTTCTTCTTGACAGTTTAGATACATACATAAATGCATACACACGTATATGCGAAGTATATATATCTCGGAATATGTCGCTAATACACAATTATACAAAACACTATAGCGAAATTCGCGTTTGCGTGTGTTCCTTTATATTTTTTTTCATTTTGTTTCTTTTTCCCTTAGAAATATACATTTATCAATAGTACGTAGAGACGCTACTGATTAAAATAGAAAACGAAAATACAAGTATAAATGAAAAAATATATATATATATATATATATATATATATAATATATGCATTTATATTATACATACATATATATATATATGTGTATATATAATATATGCATTTATATTATACATATGTATATATATATAATATATATATATATATATATATATATATATATATATATATATATATATAATATATAATATAAACATATATATAAATATACAAATACACATCGAAAAATTTTCATTTACATGAATTACAAAGAACGGAGTATTAGTTCAACGGATAATCTCTCTTTTTTCTCTCTTTCGCTCTCACAATATTTTCCGTAGCACTTAAATTGCTTATTATATTTTGGCACTTATAGCGAAGAATTTTCTTAAACTGTAATTTACATTAGAGATTTTGCTATTTTTTGTTTCGTTTTTATTATTTTATTATTTTGAATGGATCACATTTATCTTTTAGGCCAACAAAGTATTTTGCGCTTTTATTTATTATTACTCAAGTAGTTATCGCTTGATATCTGCCAATTGCAAAGAAAATGTACGGAATCTTTTTTAGAAACATGTAGAGAAATATCCGTAGTATCTTCTCCGTTTGTTGGTCAGTCTCCAGCCTCGATGGGCTCTCTCTCCTTCTTTACTGTTCATGCGAATAAATTTGTCTCGACGAAGAACTCGAGAAATCCCCGTCGAGTTCTGCTCGCTATCCTCTCTCTCGCTCTCTTGCTCTTTCGCTCTCTCCCATTCACTCTCCCTCTCTTTCTCTCAATTCGCAGAATATATCTGTGTGAGTGTGTATGGTATATGTCAGTCTTATCTGGTGGTGCACGGCCAGCCCGGTCACGTCATTTGTGCGGCATTGAAGCCTCGTTTCCTCGGAGTGGTGAATTGTGGGCTGGTGATTTGATACTGTTGCACGTATGGATTGTTCCTAAGGACATTACCACCAGGTGAACCGGTCGAATATTGCGAAGGTACCGTGATTATCCCAGTTTGTTGCAAATACTGTTCACGATAAAGTGCCTGTTGCGTCACATATTCCCCGTTCACAGGATTCTGAGCACTGTAATGAACCTTTACGGTCTTGGCCGATGGCTGATTAGCGTTGCACTCCTTATAACTGTCTTGATAACGCAAACTGGTTGGAGAGGAGCCAGGCGGTGTGACATTTTTCAGACTTTGGGTTGGACTTTGGGTGATCGATTCTAATACGTGTCTCGGCATACTTGGCGATGGGCAGTGAGTCTCTTGGAGACCATCCACGCGATTCGCATTTCTCATGTAAATAGGTGCACTCTCCGGTCTACCACCAACTATATTCCTTATTCCTTCCCTGTCTTTTGCGCTCAGACTCTGTCGAGATGCATTCAATCCTGAACCGCGATTTTTCATCGCGGATGGGGATGCGTTGTTCAAGTCGGAGACACTCGACCAGCTCACACTGGCTAATTCCCATTGACGTAGAAGATTAGACACTCGTTCAGCTCTTGCAGTCGTGTCGAGACTTTCATCGTAATCCGGACCCTGAAAATATTTTAAAAATATTATTTTGTTATTATTAAATATTATTAAATAGTAATAATTAAATATCTAATAAAAATATCAAAAGAATATTATAATATTTCAAGTATGTGATTTTATATGAACATTGTATAAAAAATATAAAAAAAATTTCCCCATATAAAAAAATCAATGTTATATTGAAACGGTCAAGAACAACCGGTACGAGAAAAGAGGGAAAAAGTGAAAAAGAATGAGCGTCTTCTGAAGGAACGTAAGAGCATTAAATATGGAGATGATGAAATATGGAGCAAATTCATATTTCATAGTCGATAAAAGTAACATAATTGACCGATCGACTTACATGCATACGAATTAATATTATTGTTACGACGAGGCGACCACAAGGTCGATGAAGCCTTAAGGAAACATCTATTTTACATGCCCTGATTCCAATGCATTTTGCCAACGCGATAGAGAAAATAATTGCGTAATTCGAGGTTGATCTTGATCGTTTTATAAGCCGAAAGCTTTGTCACATAGTGAATCTTGTATGAAAATAACAAGGCGTTACGTAAAAAGATAATGCAATTAATTTGTAAATGATAAAATGATAAATTGAAAAAAATGATTGTACAGATAAAACATGATTGTGAGAAAAACAAGATGGAATTAAGATTTTAACTTACATTTTCAATTTTTTCATCGAGCATTCTGAAGAAGTCGAGTTGACTGGTGGATATCTCTCTGCAAAAAATATTAAAGTAAAAATTATGATATTCATTTTATTATATGTTTTGCTTCATTACAAATAACAAATTTGAATAAGCATATCGTGCAATAAATCGAATGCAATAAATCAAATATAATAAGGGAGTAGATAAAGCATAAATAAAATGAATATGGAGATATAATGAAACGTACGCTTGTTGCAACAGAGGACCACTTCCAGGTGTGTTCGACTTCTTCTTGGCTTGGCCCTTGATCTCGCCAGATCCATTTTGCTCTTCGTTTCGGTTCACCTCGACCCCATTGTTATTAGTTTTGTTATTTTTCGCGTTACCATTTCCATTTTTTTGTTCTACTGATGCAGAACCTGAAACACGAAGGTTACAAAAATATTAAAACTTGAAGGTATCTTAAATTTATATTAACATAAACATAACATTAATTAAATAGATTTTTTAGAAATTTGAATATGAAAAATTGATAAAGTCTCAAAATTCTCGAAAAAAAAAATATTTTGAAAAATTTAGCTTCCGGAATTTTTTGAATTCAATTTATAATCAATAATAAAAATCTTTGTGACTTACAAAATTTGGTTAAATAAAAATTAATAACTTATTTATACGAATTATTATTTTCAAGAGTTTCAACAAAAATAAGTTCCGAGTTCTCGAAATTTCTTAAGTTTCAAAGTCTTTTGAAGTTTCGAATATCTTTATATCCTTACTTATTATTGTAATTTATGTTTATTATTCACATAAATGTTATCTCTTTCAACGTAAGCAAAATCCGCAGAAAAGCAACAGATTATCAACTTCAATTCTTTCCATGTAGGATCACGAAAAGACAAGTGTATAAAGAAACTTCTATGCCTATTCCGTATGTAAGAAATTAAGTAGAAGATATTTCTTGAACGTTGCATCTAATATTTGTTCACTCAAATAGGTGATGTCATCGATGCGTTCAGAATATCGTGAGAGAAGAAGACGAGAAAAATATTGAATGCGACACAATCGACAGCAAAATTAACTTCCCTCGTGAGAGCGGAACAATTGCACTCCATGCAATTGTTCAAGGAGCCATTTTCTTCCATTATTTAGCAAAAGAGGCGCAAAAACGAGGAGAAGCTTGGAAAAAGCATATTATCATGTACAATGGAAGAAAACAACGGATGGAAAAAATAAAATGTAATTTACGTGAAATTATCTTTCGAAGTGATGCAAAAAATACGCATATGAAATACACAGATAGAGTGCAAAGGTCAAGATTAACGCTCGTAAACATTTAATCTTATCGCAAGAAGGCTTGACACTTTTAAGGGCTGATACATTCGGGCCTGAATCCAAACGGAATATTCGATTAAAATTAAAAAAGACGGTCAGTTATAAATGAAAGATTGAAAAGTGGCGCACATTAACCTGGTGCATCGTGACTTTCACACGAATATAGATAGATATGTACATGTATGGATATTATATGTGAAGAAGACACTTGCAAAGTTGCAACCATGCTTGAACGATAAAATAGTAACAGGTTTTCTTTGTCTGGCATTAGAAAGTTTAGATATAAATAGAGAACATTTTACATGCTTAGGCTATCTATTTTTCATTGAAACAATTTTTTAACAGAGTGAGAATCTCCTCCTTTCAATCTATTTCCAACTATATTATTATCTAGGCTTACTACTAATAGAAATAAATTTCATATTATATTAAATTTTTATTAAACATTTCTATTTAACATTTAAAACATCTATAAGCTGAAAGTGACGATTAAAAAGAATTTTTTAATTATTCAAACTGACTCCGATTTTTTTTTTTTACAAGAATAGCTGGGAATAGCTGATTCGCGAACGCGTTCATACATTGGCACTTTTCTCCCAAAAATCGTGAGTGAAGGGTTAAATTTGCTACTCGTTCGCACGCATTGGCGGGTCGTTAAAATTGACGCGTGGGCGTGGAACGTTAATTGCAACAAGCGCATGGTTCGAGAGGCGACGAGTGCAGTCAGCCGAGGACCCACCTACTGACCTACACACGTGCAAAAAGACCGCCACCGCTCGTTCGTGGCTCCCTGCGTGTCTCGCGTTTATTTGCGTTTCATTGTAATCCGAGTTCATTCTCCTTTTGCTCTCTTTCGCGCCCCTGTCTCCGGTCGCCTCGCGTGCCAATGAATGGACCACAAGTGCATGCGTGTGCGCGCCGATCGGACCCGCGAGACTATTCATTTCCGCCTGGAATAATGCGATCGAAACGAATACAATTGATTGTCGGTTGTTCTATTATCAGAAATTGTGAATACGATACGAATTTGGAAAGATGCGTACAGGTACGGTTTTAAATTTAAAATATGATTCATTAAAATTGAAGTGAACATCGAGAATACACGAGTTATGCTTTCGATTTTGTTTTTTTTAGGTATTAATCCCTTGAACAGAAATGGAAAATTCTGAGATATTTATTATAATATAACAAAGATAGAAACTTGATAATAATGCAACGAAAAATTCGTTTCGTTGTGAAGTGCATTTTCGATGATGAACCATAGGCTTAAGGTAGATTAGAAATTAATAAAAATCAAGAGAAATATCCGTCAAATTGGTAATATTACGCTTAGATATATTTTTTTTCATTTTTAACTTTTTTATTGAAAAATTATGCGGTTAATTTTTGAACATCTATAACCGAATATTTTGTACATTAAGTTATCTCATAAATATAGGAAAATTAGAAGAACGATGTTTAATAAACGAATTACAAAAGTTAGACGAAAATTAGTTGCAAAATTAAAACGAAACTGTTATTGTAATAAAACCTAATGCAATTTCATGTCATGATAAACTATTATGCACTCATTGCCCGTATATTCTAGAGTTATGATAAACAATTTTCTCTGGATAAATAATGTAATTTTAGAAGCTATGAACTTTTAAAACAAAATCAAATCATATGCAATTTTGTTTTATTTTGAAACGTCTAAAACAGCATTGCTCTAATAATCTAATATAACAATTATAAATTAATTTATTCGACACGATTCTTAGGTTTCTCTCAGCTGTTACGAATTTCTCAATCGTTTTAAACACTATTTATTTATCTTCCTACAATGTGTACATATTATACATATCGAAGTCTCGAAATAAATGATATTGCCTAAGAGGGACACACTCAGTTGAACCTTGACGGTTCAATGAATCTCGTCTCGGATCCAAATATAGAAATATACCACTGTTAATTTCGAGTAACAAGTGTTCAGATGAAACAAGATTGGGCATCGATACAAATTCGTATCGATACGAACAACGGAGTATTTTATTGGATAATAGAGGGAAAATAGACGAGGTTGGGAGCATTTTTACGCGATTAAATGAAATCACAGTAGTGGCCTATCGGAAAATAGGAGAAAACGGCAAGTGGAAAACTGTCGGTCGGATATTTGCCATCGCAAATTACACGATCGTTTGTGAATTTTATTTTATCCCTCTCGCATGGCGTGAAGACAAAAGGATGTCGATTGATATTCCTCCTGTGCACTATATATCGACGTTAATCAAATAAAACGAAACCAACAGCATCGTGGAACGAACACGAACACGTTATTAACACTCTGTCTATATTAAATTGTCCATCCAACGATAAGTCTTCGTTATTTGATCGTCCTACCGCACGATCCTATTAAAGCTTTAACACCATTACCCAACCGTCTGTTTACTTGTTACTCTCCATGTTTCTGAGAAACCTGTAGAGAAAGAATCCTAAATCTAAAAAGCGCATTTTTCAATTTACAAACATTGTTGTTCACGATACCGTATTTCGAAATCACGAGTCGCATTCCGAGCCAGAAGTCGGAAGCCTTGTCGAACAAAATCAAGAGGTTTTCCTGGGAATTAGTGATCGAGTATTAGGCGCCGACGTGGAGATATCGGTCAAAACCTTGACCAGGTGATTTTTTTTTTGAAATTATCGATACTGAATTGAAACTTGGAATGGAAAAATTTGAGTATCGTTGTACTACATAACTTAATCTCTATTTTTTTTTATATAAATCTATGAATGACTTGACAAACAAGTTAATTATTAATTTGATCAGAAGTTTATGATTCCAATGTTTTTATCAGAATCTTTAAATTTTTCCTTATTTTTCGAACTTGATCTCCTCTCCATTTTACGAAATTTGTCAGTCAGCCAATAAGCTTTTCGATGATTTAACTCGATTGCATCATCTTTGCGTAAATTTAAAATTAGAATGATATTAAAGAAGAGATATTACAAGTTATTAGATTATAGGTTTCTTTTTTGACAAATTTTTATAATTTATAATTTGTGGTTTATTTATATATTATTTACTAGTAATATTATTCTATAATTATACAATAGAATATATCAATGAGGTCATTTATTATTCAAAAGTTGGTTGTAATACTACCATCTTTATCAAATTACTTTTATCTATTTTATACACGTGTAGCATCTATTCTGTACACGTGCACTATCTATTCTATATCTTCCTTTCAAAGTTCGAATTCTCTCTAATTAAATAGAAAAAGAAACAAAAAAAGAAATTACTCAATCTTAATTAAAAGCAAAACAGACTTTTTCACGCGAAAAAGATTTATCTCCCTTCCATTTCCCACGTTCGCCCATTTAATTTCGTACGTCGAAATATATCAAAGTGAAACATGCACGAATATATGCAAAAATATGTAAAAGTTAAAAATAAAATTATAAAGTATCTCGAACAGGCTTCAAATAATCCCACGACGAAATCGTATTTGCATCCATGGAGTGGAAAGACCGAGAAACCGGTCGAATGGGTTGCTAGGATTCACCCGATATCCATCATGGATACAAGAATATTTTCAACCTCGAAGATGGATAAGAAAAAATCAAATCCGGGATCCCATTCATCTGCCACGAATTCTCCCAGATTTCGAGCTGGCATCGCGCCGAAGGTCGACGTACGTCGGAGAAACAAAATTCTGAAATTCTATAAAACGGCGGAGAGATGCGTGAAAAAGTGAAAATAAATCCGTGACGCGCGAACGAGCGTCTCTTTGGTGCCTTCCTACGTTTAAAAATTCGACGAGCACTCGCTCATTCGACGCGTATTATCATCCTTAATCTTCTGCGGGGGGAGAGGATTGATTGCATCATGTTGCCAATTCCTTTCATCTCTTTTGCGGAATATTTCGCGTAATTGGGAAATCTTATATCGTGTAATCGAGTTTGGGATTTGACTGCGAAAAGTTTAACCAATAAGATCATTTTGAGAGATTTACAACTCGAGAGGATTGTAAAGTGATTATTGGAGATTCGTCAAGATTATTTTTATTCGTAATTATTTATTTATATAGAAAATTCGATGATGAAT